AAAAAGTTATTTAAAAATTATTTTTAGCAAGAAAATACGCAATGAAATTACATTAAAATAGCATTATTTCTGTCCAATGGTATTTGCTTTACTGAATTCATGAAATATGATGTTATAAATTCGAGTTCTAACCTAACCTTCACCCGAGAAAACTTGAAATTTTAAATGATATAAAGTTTTAATTAAATTGTTAAAGCAATTAAGGCAAAAAAAAAAACAAAATTTTCAAGTTTGAAATACAACATTCTGTGTTGCTCGCGAAACGTTTTATTCTGGAACACTACTCAGAAAACTTTATCGGCCGTACCATATGGACGGTAAAACTGTCTTATACGGTCTTATGTAAACGATATCGTTGTGTTTATATTTGCATATCATTAAAATGATCCGCTTAAGTAAGGCTTTCCGCAATATTCATTTCAAAAAGATTAAATTTAAGTTTAAGATTCACACAACTAATGTAATTCCATTGATTTTCCATGCCCTTACCTTTCGAAACTAACTATTTATATAATTATTAGTATCTGTCGAATGTATAAATTGTTTTCAATACATTTCAATAAATGCGTCGCGGATTAAAATGCAACCAGTGACTTTACAATTTTCGTACCGATATTCATATGCACTTTTTTTACACAGATATCCGATTTTGTCTGTGTTGTGATATGAAATAATAATATATGTGTGTTCCATATGCAAACGACGTTGATGTCATTGAGTAAAAAAAAATAGTAACTCTTCCGACTTATCATTCGACGTGCAGACAGCAAAGACAGACACAACCCTTTTCGTTTCCATTTGCACGTCACTTTTTGGATATTATTCTTCGCTATATTGATCTGCGGCAGCAGAACCCTATTGGCGTTTACGGGTTTCCCGTTGTACTCACCATTTCCCGTGTAGTTTGACATTTTATTTTTTTGCCGGAAGTAATGTTATGTACGCAGGAAAATATATGAAAAACGACAAGAAATAATTACAAAAATAAAACAAATCGTTCTGGTCATCATTTACATATTATGTATACATGTGAAATAGTATAGAATAAAAAAAAAGTATTTGCCGATACTTATACCCGAAGGCTTCACTAGTCTGGTTTTTAATTTTCACCGTTTCAATAAAACTTAAATTAAGTAACCATTAAGATTTTTTATTCGACTAACTCGTGTGCGACTCTTTTATTTAAATTTATGGAAAAAAAATAAAGAAGTTTTTGTATTATTCGGGAAGCTCCTTACCGGGGCGTCATTAAAGGGAACCAAACAAACGTGTACACATTTGACAATAATAACGTGTGTTCAACAGACTCGTGAACGCGCCGAGTTCGTGGCGAATAACACATAATTAAATCGGTCAATGTTGTTTTTGGAAACCGAATTTCGTCTCGAGTTAAGTGATTTTCGTTTCTCCAAAACTTTTCGCCGGGTTTTAAAGTCGTTACGGCGGTATCTTGTCGTCGGCGTGCACATAATTCAAACACTTAATGTTGTCGCCGACGAATTTGCCGCTCCCTAAATAGGTTTTTAATTGCCCAGGTGTGTGCCGTACCGCCTAACATAATTATTTTATTCAAGTCAACACGGCGATCGATATCACACACATTTGTATGCCGTGGCACAAAGGTGCCGGCCGACCAAAGAATATTAGAAGATTAATATTTTCTCAACAGCGCGCGCGCCAGCATTTTACGCCTTAACAATCTTGAATAAGTAACGACTCCATTGTTAATGGCAAACAACCGTGGTCCACTACCTACCGGAATTCCGATTCCTGATCTTAATGCACGTAGAACAAAGATAAAATCCACTAGTCTTAGTTGCAATACAATATTTCAATGATTTGCAAAATAAAAACTATATTTTCAATGGGATTTTTATTGACTATCTTCAATAGGGAGGTACCTCTTTCAAACACTAAAGAATATTAATAAATTGTAAAATAAACACAAACTAACAAAAATTTCTTATTCATTATAACCGTATGATTTTTTTTTTTAATGTCACTATTGTACTACTTTTGATTCTAATTTGCTTAATGTTATTGAAAAGTTTAAAAAAATAATTAAAAAACAAAATTAGGACTTAAGCGTAAAATTATAAATAGCGCATACATTTTTATATTTGTTGTGTATTATATATATATTAATATAGGTGTAGTCTTTGGACTCCAAGTCATCCATACTTGGAAATATGTTCGGCAAAACTTGATATTGTTTTTTTTTTCTTTATTACAGTCGATTCCGGTGCGAGAACTTACAGCAAAACTAAAGTAATAAAAAATGAAAAAATAAAATGCGTTAGCCGCCAGGAAATTAAGTCCATCCGGTAAACGTACAAGAAGATTGTACAACAACTTTCTTTCATGGGCCGCTTTTCGGGAAATGCACTTTAGATTATTTAAGAAGTTTGAGTTTTAACAAATTTTCTAAATTTAAAACTAGGTTTTTATTCAATAGTATTGTGTAGTTTTAAACATATTTTATATTAACTTAAACTGAGCTGGCCAGCCTAAACTAGACTGCAAGTAAAGAAGTCATTCTATTTAGATATCCACAAGGAGGAAAAACGGCTTGAAGCGTTGCGTTATGTTGTGTATATAGTATTACCTATATAGTAAGCCCACACAAAGTACAATTTCGATTCTATATATTTGTGCCGGTTTGTTGCCTATACGTTGTGCCGTCATACGAAAAATACATCATAAAAAACGCCGTTTTAGTTTTTTCTTCAACGACTATTATTCCTATCTGAATGTAATCTGATCAAATATAAAATAACGGTTACTTACTAGTGTTGTATTGACTCTGTAAATGGTTCTACTTAAATCGATTACAATGTGTTTTTTGTATTCCATTTCGAATAACGTTTTTGTATGAAAATGAGCTTTTAGGATTTTTCAGTAAAACTATAAAAAAAAACATAAAAAAAACTTTAGAATAATGGCACCTACAAAACAAGCAGAGCTTTTGAGTTATTTTATGCTAAATTAAAAGTTGTTCATGACGACGCGAGCATAAAAGATCTAAATCTAAATCAAAGTGAAAGAAAATGTTAAATAGCCCAAAATAAAAAAAAGTCTAAATCATTTATCGCATTCTATAAGTATCTATTTAAGGAGAATACAATGTAATATGGCGATAATGTATTACCAATCGTTTTTATATTTTTGTAACTATATTTAAAATTTTTAACTGTCGACATCGTTTCGTCGCTATTATGGCAAATATGTTGTTTAAAATTATTATTGAGCCTATTTTTGAATTACATTTATTTTATAAAAAAAATCCTTTTTTCCAACCGTTAACTATAACATTTTGTTGAAAATTTTAAATCGAAAATTGTCTTTTGCCGCTTACCGTGGAATTGTTCAAGTCTTTTTTTTTTTTTTCATTAAAGTTAAAATTTGAAATCGTTATTTTGAGAGTTAAGATGTCTCGCCGTATAGTTCTTTTAATCGCAAACGTTGTCTAATGGTAAATAGTAATTTTGTTCTTTGGCTTTTCCATTTAAACGTTCGACGTCAGGCGGCAAAGTGCTTCCTGACAATTCATGAGTTATGTCTCAACTTTGGCAATGAATCGATTTTGTACGGTTTTCCACCGGGAAACTTCGTAACTTAATAGGTTAATATATTATATTATAAGTGTATAGAAGATTCAAGATAATCCTATCAATCTACCCTGGTATGCAGCACCGACGAGGTTCTAACATCAATTATTACATCATTATCATTTCGGTAAACCGAACTTGAGGACTTAAGATTAACAAACTATACAGGAAGACAACGACTTGTCAATTGGCTAGTATGTATAGAGCACAGTTCTGTTACATGCGTACGTGTCTGGAAGTTATGAGAACCTGGCAAACGTTAATTTGACAAGTGACAAATCTTTGGACAGAAATTACTTGAAATTTGCAAACACGCGAGTATGTAAAGTTGGGCATCGTACGCTCCCATGCGTTTATATACAGACAAAAGTTTGACGGTAAAATCAAGTTTAAAGTGAGCGCTAAAAGACATGAATTTATTGTTCAGCAGCCTTTATACACGCACTGTGCGTTAATGTCACATGGTACATTATTTACATATTATTCAGTACATTCAAACCATCTAGAAATACACTTAGATGTAAATCTAAATCTAGGTTTTAATAGGTTTTCTATAAGCGGTCAAATGATGTATTATATATATATATATATATTTGTTTTTATAAGACTACAGTTAATGATTGATCACTGTTATATTACTTATTTTGGTATAAATTGAAAGTTATGAGTCATTCACCGAATGAAGATAATATTTTTTATTTTGAAATTCGTAGGCAAGCGTAAATATGTTGTTAAATACTTACACAAACATGCACCAAGGAGTTCAACAAACTAAGCCTCTTTAATTGAAGGAACTTCAATTATTGATGTATTGTGCACTAATGTGCAAAATTGTGCAATTAGTAATAAAAAAACTCGTATTTCATGCGAGATGCACAAAATGTAAGATACAGTTGAATGTGCGCCTAATATTATTAGCAGGCGGATAGTACCGAGAATTTTGTTGTGGTTATTAAATAGATATATTATACAGATTATAGAGGTTTTTTTTGCACGGCATTCGGACGCTGAGGTACTAACTCCTTATAAAAACTCGCCAATATTAAACTTCTACAATTCACATCATATAGGCCCATAGGTAAGACTAAAAAAAAATTTTTTTTTTGGGGGGGGGGGGCTAGCGAGAGCCCACTCAGTCACTCCCATAAATAAGTCCCTGCATTCGAAGCGCGTGAATTGTGGCTTCTGACAATGCAGGTCAAGAGATTCTTTTTATTTATATACATTTTCCTTTATTTGTGAGATTATAAATATGTCAAAACTGTGTTTATATGTGAATTATTTTACTATGGTAATGTAACCGTCATAACGACAATACTGTCAAACGTATTTTTGTGCGTTGGTATAATTTTGATTTGCATCGTGTCGCACTGTTTTTCGGAATCATTAACGATGGATGCCTACGACAGAGAACCGTGCCCAATGCGAGTTATGGATGATATCGGCAGTGCGTTTGCCTTAGGCCTCATCGGTGGAGGAATATACCAGGCGGTTGAGGGTTTCCGAAACGGGCCGGCCGGGTTCAGAAGGCGTTGCAACGTGAGTGTGAAAATCACAAGTAACCACCAAATCAGACAATTTTTAATATGTTGGGATTTGATTTCCAGAGCGCTTTTCAATCGGCCACCACCCGTGCTCCGGCCATGGGCGGAACGTTTGCTGCTTGGGGTGGCTTGTATGCCGCCATTGAATGCACAATGGTCGGCATCAGGAAGAAAGAAGACCCATGGAACACGATTACAAGCAGCGCTCTGGCCGGCGGCATACTGGCCGCGAGAAAAGGGCTTCGGTCGATGGCGTTTAACGCGTTCGGTAGTGCCGCATGTATGGCAGCTTTCGAAGCCTACGGCTGGTACTCGGAGTACAGGTCAGCCAAAAAATTTAGACCGCGAGCGCCAAAATATGACAACTAACAACGCGCCCACCCAGAGACTCGATTATGCCCGGGATGACACTATTGACTATGGTCGATAGTTTGCCTTTTTGAGAGCAGCAACTAAACATCATAGCCAACCACGTTTGGGTTTTTGGACCGCTGCACAGTGGTCTAAAATCAAAAAAAGGTGGCCAAAAATCAAAAAAATCAAAATGGAAAAATGTATTTTTTTTTTTCTAGGTTGTTACAATACTACCTAAAGTTCTCTGAAAATTAAAATTAGAATTCAAAATATTGATTTGAAATTATACTTAAGAGTTGTTGAAGTTGGAAGAATCAAAAATAACTTGGTTGCTAATTTATTCAAGATTTTTTTTATAATATATCTTTAATATTTAACACAAATCATATTTTTAATGTGTTAAATTGTTCTAATTTTCTCATGTATGTACTATATATGTATCATAGTCATTATATAAATAAAATTGGAATCTATTTTTGTTGTATACGCCTGTATTTATAAACATTGATTTAAACACAGTACAAGAACATAACAGGTAGGTTGATAAGATTACATTTTTTTTACATTTATTCACTGAGCTTCACGCTGATATACACATATAATAATACTTTAAGGTATATAGAATAATAATATACATAGATTAACTGCCCATATCTGCCCTACTGTCGATAAGACATAATTGAATTAGGTGTACACATGAAATCGGAGGTGTACTCAATTAGTCATAACCAAGTTATTTTCGATTCTCCCAACTTCAACAACTCGTAAGTATAATTTCAAATCAATATTTTGAATTGTAATTTTCATTTTCAGAGAACTTAAATAGTATTGTAACAACCTAAAAAAAAAAATACATTTTTCCATTTTGATTTTTTTGATTTTTGGCCACCTTTTTTTGATTTTAGACCACTGTGCGCTGTGTTTAAAAAAATCCGCGTCAAAGCCGCGGCTGTCTTGTCGATGTCGTCTTGCCAATAATTTCCGCCGCCACTTTAAAAGCTGCACTATATAGCCAGAGCGCGGGGCTAGTTATTTGTTTCTTATTTGGTAATTTTCTTCCACAATATTTTTGTGTACTTTATCCATTTTCGCCCAGACTTGTCGGCTGAACGGGTAAAGTTTACGTTGGCAGTGGTTTCATGACATTAATTATTGCGTCTATTTTCGAAAATAAAACCGTGAATTATATAATATGATTATTTGTTGTGTACTTATCATTTTTTAAATATTGTATTGTATCTGTAAAAATGCTGCATGAAGAAATTGGTTCAAAAATATTCCAGATAATGCCCAGGTTTCATCTGTAGCTAAACTACGCCGTTCATATACCTAGGTATAGGCTATAGCTATGGTATTTACTATAATCTTGAAATCGAACATTTTTACATCATAATAATATTTGAATTTGACAAGAAACACACCTGGTTTAAAAACGGCGTCGAGTGTAGGCAATTTATCTACATGAAAGAATAGTGTGCTTCGTTGAGGCGTCTGCCCACATATTTCCCTCTTTAATACTTTACTAGGTCATTAAATAGTTTTTTCGACTGAGCTTTTAGCTATATAAAATTGCAACGAATCGACTTAACTTAGTATTCATAGGAATCGACAGTATGATATTTTTTTGTTTGGTCGAACATCTAATAAATGTTTGTAGATAAAACACTATAATTATAAAAACCGTGCACGATATCGTTTTTTATTATGTTTTCTTATTGTTTCCCGTTCGATTAGTTCTATGTCAAACAAATGAAAATTAATAATCAAAAACGTATAAATATAAAATTCCTATTATTATAAAAAGATTATATTCGATTTGGTATAAGAAAAAAAAATGTTTACCAACAAAAAAATATCTAGTTAGTTTGAAATTGTTATTCGTTTACAGTATAAATAATTTAATATTCCATTCTCATGCACTTCTTTCCTATTATCCTTGTAAGTTGATTGTAATTAAAAGCACATAGACATTGCAACCACTTTAGCATTTAATTTATGCGTCTAAAGTTTTTATTCCTGTCTAAACAATTAAATAAAAAAATAGAACGCCAGGACTAAAGAACGTTTTATATCGGGTTTAATTTAATTAATTAAATGCTAAGCGATGTATTTATAACTATTGTTGAAGTAGTTGCATCACTAATGGAATATATGCGATTGCATTGTGGGATTGTGTATTTTAATTAACAACGTTGATTTATTATAAAACCAGGATCATGTAAAATAGCGTACTCGACTTATGTGTAGTACAATGTAATTTGAAACATTTGGGTAAATAATACATGATTTTTGTTTTATTTTTATTACTCGGGCATTGCGAACAAATAGTTTTTTTTAGAATAATTGTAAATGGAAAACGTTAATTATTTTAGCAGAGTAAAGCTTTATAAACTTTTGACGGAAAATTATACACGTAGAAAATGTAATTAGTTATAAAATATTAATATTAACGTTATTTAAACGATTGAGTTTTATTCGTAATATAACTAAGTAGGTGCCAAGTTCAATGAACATATTGGACGGTAGAAAAATAAGAGGTTCGTCGTATAACATACTTTATAGAAGTTATAACGTACTTTGGGTACAACAAAATGGCAGTGATAAATACCAACAGTCACGTATAGGTACTTCGCTAAATCGCGCAATTGATAAATGAAATCAGTTTTAGTTTGGTAAACTAGAAAGTTTAGAGATGAAGATGTGACGCACGAGATTAGACTCCGGCGATATTGAATATATTTTATAAAAATATTGTAGTATGCTACATATTATACATAATATATACTGTATTGGGAAGGAAAATTAACAAAAACCCTTCCTCTATACGTAGAATAAAACATATTCATGATTGAATGTTCTTCCTCAGATGGAAGAATTATTCGGTTTTAAAATGATTTTTTTATTGCCTTGTGTGACTTTATAGTGGCCAATTACTGTACACAACCAACCTGCGCATTAGATTGTTTTATTCAAATAAATTTATTAAAAAAATGTTCAAATACATTCAGTAGAACTGTTTAACCAAAGGTTGAACCGAATTTTTCATCGAATAAGCTTCTAAGAATTATCTCATATGAGCGATGGCGACAAGGCAAATACAAGACTTTTAACCACTGTTCAACTATACACTGTTTATACGCGATAATATCAGGTGCAGTAATTTTTGTTTTTTTAGCCATCATAATAATATGTTTCTACAGACGTTTGACCGACAACTGTCAACTGAGTGGGAAATATGATACGTCCCGGTGAGTATCAACAAACTCGTAAGTTGCTATTCACATATAGACCTTACTATATTATGAACCGGGATCGAGTTTCATAACGAGAAAAAAGGCCACAACCACTCTCTTTCGTGCGTGTAGGTAATGGACATATATAATATATGGAAAGGCCAACTTACTGTGTGTTGAAAGTTTAAAATATATTGAACCTTTGTTTTCCACGATTTATTTAAAAGAAACAGTGTTTGATACTGACCAAATAGAAAGGGCTAATATGAATAAGGCTAGTAAAATAATTGTCTTTGTGTACACGATCCATAGATCCGAATCCTGTGGTACAATTATTATTATAAGCAATTCTGTTAAATGTAATCGATCAATCGATTTTGTTTTTTGTTCCAAGCATAAGGTGACATTTTTTTTTTTACAATATAATATGTAACCAGTCAAGTTGCAAACGGTTTATGTATTTAATAATAATCAAAAACATTATACTTCGATCCTTGGTTTTTTTGGAACTAAAATATTAGACAGAAAAAGTTTTACGAATGTTATAGGATTTTTTCACTAAATCCGAATCTTGTGTCTTAATTTTTTGAGCGCCTCAATTTTTTTAAATCGCTTCAGAACTTTTCAAACAACTCTAAAAACGAAAACAGAATTGTCCAATATTATTTTTTATAAAAAAAATATTCAAACTCTACATTCATATTTCATTCAGACTATTTATGAGTTCAGCAAACCTTATGGTAAAAAACTCTTTATTAGAAAATAATATAAACTTACAGAATACGCTAATATTTAAAAACGGCGTAGATATTTTTTCGATTTAAAAAATAGAATAATGTGCTTAAAAAAATATGAGGCCAGTACAGATTCAGTGAAAAGAATGTATTTTGACAAATTTTGATTCATGTTTCTAAAAACGGTCAAAATTCATTGTAATAAAAATTGATTATTTTTTAGTCATTGATATTTTCATGTTACAAAAGTTATACAATTTTCTGAACATAAACATTTTTTTTGCTGATTATGGAATTTAGTATTTTGATTCCAAACGTATCTTATTGTTTGTAATTAATTATTTTTTACTAACTCTTAAATTAATTTAAACAAATTCGTCTGGGAAAAAGACAAATAGGTGCTGCCGTAATATTAGCCGAATTATTATTATGAAGAAGTTAGTGCCGGCTATTGAAATATGTCTGTCACTATTATTGATATAACCTGATTGAATATGTCATGACGAAGCCCTTTATAAAATATTCTTCCTGCAAAATATGATCTACTCGCAGCATGGTAAGTAGTTTTTTTATCCCAAAACCCAAGTGGCTATGTTATTGTTAGTTGTGAAGACTGGATAGTGTGTGTGTGTGTGTGTCATTAAATGCGGTGACAACGACACCAATTACGGTAGATGTTATATAGACTTTACCTGATACAAATGTAACATACACAATAATCTAGATCACTTTGGCGGATAATTAGTTTTTATTATAGAGTTATTAGACTACACTCACTTAACTTGTACGAGGATTCGGATAGCGTCCCATTCAAGATAAAGCCAAAAAAAAGACTTATTTCAACTGTCAAAAGATCAAAATGAATTAGATTTTCATCGCCAACACTAATAGAGATAGATGGTATTTTGAAAAAGTTATACGTACTCATTATTTATTGTAAAATAGTATAAAATAAAATAAAATTGTTGACAAGTTGCATCAATGCAAATTTAAAAAAATTGTGTAATAAAATCACACAATAAATGATATTAATAATAGTAATTGTATT